CACCATTAAACCCTCTTGTCATTTAATGAAGATTAGAGCAATATAGAAATAGTAAACTTTCCAAGTGAAGAGAGGCGAGAAAAGGTTAAATAAAATAAAAACTTGAAAAAAATAGTAATTTAACTTTACATCTTCATGATGGAACTTTGCTAATCTTACACAGGCAATACTCCGAACCATGCACAATTCACATGCCTTACCGATACTTTTGTCAATGAATTTTATTGTACTCCATACAATTGAGATGCATCCGAATTGGAGCAATACTCAAAAACAGAAAAAAGAAAACTATGATCTATAGCATTTCCATCTTCGTTCACAGATGATTTTCAATTTAGGTGTTTTTGTCATCCGAAATAGATGAGCTCCCGCACAACCAAGAATGTATCTTTGTCCTTCACACTGAAATGTAATCGGCTCTTGGCAAACTTCCACTCACCTGATCAATGGAGATCACAAAATTATAAGACCCAAGTGATTACTCTGGGAGAGATTTCGTTATTACATGAAGATGTAGATGGTAGCAAACTCTGTCATCAGACCGAACTGCTGACAATTTGCATTCCTTCACATTCAGCATTAGTTAGTAGAGTAGAGAGAACATTGGAATTTTCTCTTTAATGCATTCATTCCTCTCAGTAAGATTCTCAATGTCAAACTCCAACTCTGGAAAGTATTCTAGAACTTTACTCCCTATAACTGGAGCGCTCCATTTCTTCTGCAAGATCATAAACAAGCAAATTAGACAGAGAACATTTCTCAATCTCAATGTCTCCTAATTACCCAAAAGAAAACCAAGATCATAACCAATTCAGATTGACCTAGATGAATCAATGAGATCATAACATTGTATATCATTCTAGTACATAAATCACAAGTTTGTATTGAAAAGCATTGAAGTACTTGGCAAATCTACCACAACATATAGTGCAAGACCATCTGCCCCCTTAGTTATGGTTGTTATGTTGGGATTAATTCTTATACATATATAATATAATAAACCTTATCATAAAAATAATAATTAAAAAACATGTGGTCTTCACCCTTTAATATGTATTTCGTGGGAAGATAGCAATGTTTCCAATATCTTCAGGCGACCATCCATATCAGCCACTAATCTGTCAAGCTCATAAATTTGGGTTTCTAAATCTGCTTGATTGTGCATGCTTGAAGTGCCATCATCATCAAGACCTTTGAGAACTGCCCACACAAAAAAATCACACCGATTCCCATTCAATTTGTTTGCCTACTTAAATGCAACATACTAGTCATAAAAACCTTTAATCATCATAAGTATAGAACATGAAAATTTGTTATATCATTTACAACTTTCCTCAAACAAGTGTAAAATAACTTGTGCCGATTTTGAAGGATTTTTTTATACTTGAATTACGCAGGTCCTTCCATAATCACAAAACATTGGACTCTATTTCAAGTCTCTATATGATGGATGATCACAAGTGGATTGAAAACTCATACCTTCTTGAGCACTATCAGTATCGCATCAATAAAAATGTTGAAGGTTAATACAGTCAGGAATCACTAAGATGGTGATAAGGGAAACAATAGACCAAGGTGGTGATAAGGAATCACCATACAAGAATGGAAGGCCATTAAAGAAAACACAGAAAGCAGACACCAAACACCAAACTTACAGCTTATCCGGTGACATGAATAAGAACCCCTTTCTTTTTTCTCCAAAAATTTCTTTATTTTCTTCTCATTCTTGATCAGACCTATTTCAAATAAACTTCCTTTCATCTTGAAAAAACTTTTGAGACTAGAACAACCCAAACATCTCTCTAGTTTTTGATGCATCTTAAATGGGCCCTCTCTTTAAGAATTAATTGGGCCAAAAATAACTTGAATTCTTACACAAAACCACCCCCGCCCCCAAAAAAAAAAAAAAAAAAATTGAAAAGCTATGAAATGTATGCATAAATAATCAGATGATCTGAAAACATATGATCATGCCAATTCTTCTGTTTAGGCCTTCTCAGTTGGAACTGATGCAGTAATTAATGGGTCCTAAACTTGATGGATATAGCTCTGTGCTTTGTCCCCACTCCCTATATCCAAGCCCATCCCATCAATGATATGGTTTGAGAATGACTACTTCATGGTTGCCTAAAAAAATTAGTTGTTTCTCCGATTTTTGCTTTGAAAAAATAAGATTATATACACCCTCTAAAAAGCATGAGACTAAGGCTCAGTTTGGAAAGAGTACAAATATAAATGTTTACAATGTAAATACATACAAAATAATACAAAATAAATTTACTCATTAACAATGCAAATTTTACATAAAAAACTTTCTCATACTTTAATTCTCACATATATAATGTGGGGACCATATCATTCTGCCTCCTAGATAACTTGTTCCTCCCAAACAAATAATTTCTTTCTACCACCATTCATTTTCATATAAGAAGTAAATTAGTTTACTTCTCACAAACAAACATGACAAAGTTTTTACTAAAACAAAGGTAAAGGTAAACCACAGATAACTCCCAGCCAATTTTCACTCATGCATTTACACCATTCATTCTAATTGATGGAGCCTAAAATGTCTAGCCTAAGCATCTGAACAATGTAAAATATGTGTATCATTGTCGTAAATGCAAAGAGATAACACAACCCTCATTGACAGTGTACAAGCTCATACTAGCAGACTTGATGTATAAAAAAAATCCCTAAAACTAAGCATAAAAGCAGAGTTGATGTGCAAAAAATCCTTAAAACTAAGCATAGAAGCAAACCCCTAATGGATCCGGTTCAAGCCTCGAAGCAAAACCCCTAATTGATAGCCATTGGATTGGGATTTGAGTTTTGGATTCACTCACCTTTGTTCGCCTAAAGAATGGCCGCTGGTGTGAGCTGAGGTTCGACAACACCTTTGTAAGAAAACAAACGATCTATATCTATATCTATATAAATATATTAAGCTGAAATGTGTATGTAAAAAGGCAGATGACGGAAATGGAATCTAATAGTATTTTTGTCTTTTTTTCATAGAAATTACAAGAATGTCACACTCTCTCTCTCTCTCTTTTTCTTATAAATTACAAGAATGCCATTTCTCTCTCTCTCTCTCCTGCCATCTCTCTCTCTCTCTCCTTACAAATTACAAGAATGTCACTCTCTCTCCAACTGAGGGAGACCTCATCTCGGCTGCTAGGGGACCTACAATCAAAGGTAGTCGAGTTCGAGCCGAACCGACCTCGAACTTTTGAGGGAGACCTCAACTCGGCGCCTTGTTAACTAAGGGAGACCTTAGCTCAACACCTCGCTTGCTAGGGAAACCTCAGCTCGACACTTCAGCAGGTAAGGGAGACCTCAATTTGGCACCTAGGCAATTGAGGGAAACATCGGCTCAGAACCTTGGCTTGGCACCTCGGTTGCTTGAGAGACCTACAATCAAAGGTAGCTGAGCTCGAACTTCCAAACTTTTGACTCGAGTCGAGTTCGAGTTCGAGCTCGAGCTCAATTCTCTAATTCGAATCGAGCTCAAACTTGATAGTTTATGAGTGAGCCCTTGCAACGCAGGGCCCCTCCACTGGTAAATCTATTAAGCTGAAATGTGTAAGTAAGAAGGCCCGAGTATGAGGGAAATGGAATCTAATAGTATTTTTGCCTTTTTTCATAGAAATTACAAGAATGCCACTCTCTACCAACTCTCTCTCTTTTGCCTTTTTTTTCTTTCAAATTACAAGAATGCCACTCTCTCCTACCAACTCTCTCTCTCTCTTGCTTTTTTTTCTTTCAAATTACAAGAATGCCACTCTCTCTCCTACTAACTCTGTCTATTTCTTTTTCTTACAAATTATAAGAATGCCATCTCTCTCTCCTTATAAATTACAAGAATGTCACTCTCTCTCCAATTGAGGGAGACCTTAGTTCGGCATCTCAGCTGCTAGGGGACTTGCAATCAAAGGTAGTCGAGTTCGAGCCTAGCCAAGCTCTAACTTCTGAGCTCAAGCTTAAGTCTCTAATTCGAATCGAGCTCGAGCTAGATGACACCTCGACCACTGAGGGAGACCTCAGCTCGACACCTTGGTTACTGAGGGAGATCTCGGTTCAGCACCTCGACAACTAAGGGAGACCTCAACTCGGCACCTTTTCAACTAAGGGAGACCTTAGCTCGACACCTCGCCTGTTAGGGAATCCTCAGCTCGACACTTCAGCAACTGAAGGAGACCTCGATTTAGCACATCGGCAATTGAGAGAGACCTCGGCTCAGAACCTTGATTGCTTGAGAGACCTACAATCAAAGATAGCCGAACTTGAACTTTCGAACTTTTGACTCGAATCGAGCTCAAGCTCGAGCTCAAAACTCCTGCCCATGAAAACGTACGTTTTAGCCCATGAAATATCTCGGAAGTTACATCTGTCCTTCAACTCAAAACTCCTACCTCATAGCAATTAGCTAGGACTTAGGATAGAGGGGCAGTGCGTTAACATATAAAAAAGGATTGGGATGTAGTATAATATCATACTTTGAGTTTGAGTAATAGAACAATAGAACGCACACATACTTTGAGTATGTAATATATATCTACAAACTTTTTCATCCCTTGTGCCTCATTGGCGTGCCAAAAATTGCTGAGAAAACAGGTCGGTCGCAATTGGGCCACTCTTGTACTCTGTTAAGTAGAGGTGTCAATGGACCAGATTCGGGTTGGATCCGTCCAAATCACATTTAAATTGGACGGGTTGGATGGTCCATGCTTTGGCATCGGATTGGACTGGTCCGTATTATTTTGGTCCTAAGTAATTGGTGGACCAAAACGGACGAAGTCGATTAGTCCGCAAACCATCTGAGCATCGATTTTACTTCGGACTCTAATTCTCAAGTCTCCAACCTAGGTTTCTCTAATGCTATGTTTGATTTGAAGGAAAACGTAGGAAAAGAAAAAGAAAGGAAGGGAAACCTTTATAAATTCTGTATATGTTTTTCTGCATTTTCCTTTCTTTTCCTACCTTTTCCTTCGCCTAAGGGAACTCTCTCCAACGGCTTTTTTTTTTTTTTTTTTTCTGATGGTTCTATCACGGGCAAGTCGACGACTATCTCCGTCAGTTTGCTTGAGCTGCATGTACCGAGAATGTATTGTCTTCACTTCGGACTCCAAGTCTCCAACCTAGGGTTTCTCCAAGGGAACTCCCTCCAATGGCTTTTTTTTTTCAACAGTTCTCTCACCGGCGAGTCGGCGACTATTTCCGGCAATTTGCTTGAGCTACATGTACAGAAAATGTATTGTCCTCACTAGCGGCTATCTCTGACATTTTTTCTCTCCAGCAGTTTTCTCTCTCCGACGGCCATCTCTCTTCTGTGAACTGCAATCAATCGTTGAAATAGCATCAGTCTGTTTTCTGTTTCTTTTTCTTTTTAGAAAATTCATTCTTAAGATGCCTAATTGTTAAGTAGTGGTTGTTCCGTCCAGTTGTTTGCTATTTTAGTTCCACCAATTACAAACATCTTTCGTATCTTTTGCTTTTTGAACCAAATCATGAGCATCTCCGGTGAAAGACCTAGATTTATATACAAAATTAACCTTGGTCTGTTTGTTTTCTGTTGTTGTGTTGCTTTTGTTTAGTTGTATTTATCCTTTTTTATAATGAAGATATTGCTTACCCAAAAAAATAAAAAACTGGATTGCTCAAGCTTTTCAGCCATTGATTGGCAAGAAAAAGTAGGCAATACATCCATTTTTTGCAGTTGGCAAACTAGCAATAGAAATACATTTTTATCTGAATTAGAGGGTTTTCTCTTTTAGTGAGAGATTCTAATAGAATAAAATTCATAGTTTTTTGTTTTAGGAAATTTATGGGCCATCTTGTCATTCCATTGTAGGGTTGCATCTAAAAACATCTAGAGATCATTCTCAAAATATTGAAAGAAAAAGATGAAAGGGGTGTTCTATGTGAATTATTTTTCATGTGAGTTCCAAAAACAAATGAGAGCCATCTAGTTTGAAAATAGATTGGGTGCGCATGTGAATTATTTTTCATGTGGATTAGACCAGCCCAATCCAGTCCTGGTTGAATAGTCCAATAAGACAGTGGACTGGATTGGACCAATCCAATAAGACTAGTTTAATGTAAGGATTATTATCTGGCTGGCTGTGTAGTGATGGAAGGTGGTGGTACTGTGCGGGTTCCTAAATTTTGCAAAATCTTCTTTGATTGGGAGCTGGGCTTTGTTTGTGAGGTTTTACAGGTCTTAACAGATAGAGCAGTCAAGGAGGGGCAGTTGGATATGTGGGGCAGGTTTTACAGGTTTTACAGGTTTTTCAGTTGTTGTTCAGTGGTCATTCTAGAATTGCAACAGTAATTTACTTTTTAATTTACATTTTTTTTTTCAGATAACATGACTGATTAGTTTTAGTGAACTATCCATTGCATTCTTAGGAAATTTGCCTTGTTAATTGCTCTGTTTCTTTGAATGTGTCTTAAATGCTGCCATACTCACTCTAGTTCTTCTTAATTTCACTAGAACAGGGAATCAAAAACTAAAATTCAGTTGTTTTCTAAATCCCATTTCTTATATTTTTATATAAGAAGAATCTATAGATGAATTACTAATCATATAAAAAAGGGCTACTAATTGGTAAGATCCTTATTAAACATCTTTTTAGACTATTAGCAAATTCTTAATATAAATCCTTCTTTGTCCTCTGCCTCCAACACCCACCTCCTGTGCTATGATATTTTTACTCCAGAACCAGAAGGGATACCAAACAAAAGATGTGTTCCATTAAAGATTGCATGTTCTGTTCTATCAAATTCATATTGTTGTCTTTGGCTTTAATCGTTTCTGCAACACCCTCATAGTTCAAATGTTTCTGATTCCCAAAACCATTGAGAGAAGTAGCACACATGAACCGAGATGAGCATCTCACCACCTGGTCCATCATCTGTCCTGTGAGTCTGTGACAGCAATAACATGGTTGGGTTGTGATGATATTAAAAGTAACATGGTTGGGTTGTGATGATATTAAAAATAACATGGTTGGGTTGCTGTCCTGTGACAGCAATATCTATTGTGACTTCAGTAGTACTGCTCCACGGATACCTCTTATCTGATATGTGGTTATTGTCTACAATGTTGTATTACTAATAAAGAACTAGAATTATGTCACTGATAAAAAAATAACCAGAATTATATCCATAGTAGAAACTGGATTAGAACTCTATATGCTACCCTTGGAAACAATTTTAACCTTACATGGAGAAAAAGTTCAAACCATGTGCATAAATTAAACAATGGAAATCCTTCCTAATAGATGTCAAAAGAACCAACTGCCTCTTGATCTTATCTTCCTGGAAAGCCAACGAAGCCGATTTATTAGTAGGAGGAGCCTTTTCTTTTTCCCATAAATCCAAGGAGGATTTCACTCCAAAAATGGTACTTTTGGGTTAACAAAGAAAAGATAAAATAAGGCAGAGCTTCTAGTCAAAACAGTGTTCTCAGACTTGGACTGCACAGAAAATCAGACTAGAATGCTGATGGAATGATGGGTCATGGAGCTCATGGATTGGTTAACTAATAACCAGGTCAAAATTCAAGGGTCCAGACATAGATCATGGGGGAGATTCTACTAACTTATCTGAACTGTGCAAGTTGGATTGAATCAAATGGTTATTAGATGTGAGCGTTGGCTATTTCTTGTAACTTTGTGGTTTGATTAGCTGATAGAGTAGTCAATGCAAAGTTCATTTTCAAATGGTAAAACATATTGTTTGAAGTTGGGTAGCTTGAGTATTTTCCATGCCCATAGCCATTTTCCACTGATTAATTAATCCTTTCCTTTTCTATACATTTCTTTTACAGGCATTGCAGAACTCGGAGTGATGATGATGACAACTTTTTTGGGTAGTTGTTTCCTCCAAGTAAGCTGTGTTTGGAGACTTGGAGTGATGATGACGATTTGTTGTAACACAAATCTTAGGTAATAAATTGGATAAAGGGTTGGATGATCTTTACAGCAAAGATTCATGGTGATTATCAATTTACTATCTTGATATTCTACCTAAAAAACCTCTAACTCTATGGTGTGACCCATTTACTGTGTTTTTTTGGTGTGGGGTCCTCACTCCTCTCCCTATTAATCCTGGCTTTCCGGAAAATCAATTCCCTAGTTTCCTGCCCTAATTCCTAATTTGACATATAATTGGAGTTGGCATTGTTTGATGGTCTAGCTGAAATTTGTTTTTTTCTTCACAGGATAAAGGGTTTCTCAGAGAATCAGCAAATTTCAGGAGGAAAGCATTTGGGGTGTGTCCATCCACCCACACGGTGTTCTCACATTATTTGGGGTGTTCATCATGGAGAATGTACCTGGCTAGTGGTTCCTCAAGAAGCAGGAAGTAGAAAGCAGAATCTGGTTGGATTCGATTGATAAGTAATAACCTGCATAAGAACAGTATGCAGTAGCTCTTTTAAGAACTTGTCAAGATGGTTGGAATTTGGTTCATCTTTTGTTTGTTTTTTTTTTTTGTTTTTTTTTTTTTGTGTGTGTGTGTGTTAGTATTGAAGAATTAAATTCTAAAAGATTATATTGACAAACTCTTAATATGGAATGACTAAGTGTTGCATTTCAATCCGGTTTGGACTGTAAATCTGTGATTTTTAAACAACATCCGAGACTCCGGGTTTCATGTAAAAAGTTTCATTTGGTTTGGACTGGATTGGATCCAATCCGGTCCATTTGCATTTCAATTTGACTGGATTGGATCTGATTTGTATGGGGGTTGGACCGGATTTGGTCCAGTCCATTTGTAAATGGACCAATGTTGGACTGAATTGGATTGAACCAAATCCAGTCCAATTGACAGCCCTACTGTTAAGTCGACACCATGGCTTATGCAATCACTAGGATTAGGGATTGTTTTATAAGTCCARTCCTTGTTTGAATCGCTTTGTTTTGACCCTACATATGATTATGGAAGAAAGAATTTCTTTTACAGACTGAATTTGTTCATTAACTCTATCTCAACTTCAGAATAAAACCATAGTCCATTTCTTAGCTTCTTTTAAATAAGGTAAGGAGATCTATTAGCAAAAAAGGGAGATGAAAATATATATCAATCAGACCCAGTTTACTTCAAGGTTTTTGCTCCATCCACAAGGTAGTTGTGTAACTTCAGACATAACCTCTTACCCGATACAGTACTCTTCTTTCTGTTGGAAAAACAAGGGGATGCCACCTTATCAAATACTCTCTTTAATCATTAATTGTATTTCAATAAATAGCCGTAATTTCACTTCACATGAAGAGGATTAGAAGAGTGAAAAATGGGTTTTATTCTTCCTTCCATATTGAGTAGGCTTTTCATTTTCAAACATCTTCCTTCTGTGTCAATGGATCGGATTTGGGTTGGATCCATCCAAATCGAAATCAACTTGAAAGGGTAAGATGGACCAAGAAAACATATTGAATTGGATTAATCCAAACTTAATGGCCCAAAGTATTTATTGGATTGGATTGGATTGTAATGGATTTATATTGGATTGGATGGGATTTAGCCAATATCTGATCATTGACTCAATTGACCGAAGATAAGAATATAGGTGTCAATCGACCAAGTTTGGGTTGGACCCGTCCTAATTTAAAATCAAAATTTCAATAGACTGAACGGTCCAGACATTGGATTGAACCAAAATGGTTCAAAGTATTCATCGGATTGGATTTGACCCGATCCATTTATAATGAATTCATATTAAACTGACCGGGTTGAATTGGACACATATCCAATCCAATGACATCCCTACTAGCAATAGGACAAACCATGGGTCCATGGCCAAAATGACAGATGAGCATTGTCAAGCTAAAATACCTTATTCCGCAGTTACTTTAGCCCTAGCTAGAAGAGTGAAACCAAGAAAAAAGATAGATTCTAACCTGTGAAAAATTATAGGTGGAATGACTGTTTATAGGTGTGCATGGTGACCCGAGATGCTGTAGGAGAAGGATTCTTTGGGATATGCTGGAAGGAATCTTATATATTATATATATATATATATATAAAAGATAGTCTCATATATCTTATTTGCCACCCGGTTTTTGGATCAATAGTTTGACCATTTAGGTCGAATGGACGGCCCGTTCTAATAACAAAAATTACAAGCAAAAATTTACGAAACCATTTTGGCCATCAGTTTTTGTATTGACGGTTCGATCATTCAGTTTGAACGGATGACCCGTTCTGACAACAAAAATTACAGGCAAAAAATTGAATGTGTGAGGTCCATTAAGCAGTATCATGTGTTATGCCATTCGAGTGTGTGCTTTATACAACCCGAAAACGGAACCATTTTGGTAACCGGTTTTTTGGTCGATATCCGATGGAAACGGAACCATTGACTTTAAATTTGGAGGAGCTTCAGACAAGAGAAAAGTTATTTTGGAAGTAGCGCTCTTGAAAATTGTGGTTAAGAGAATGTGATAGAAATAGCAGATACTTCTATCTCTCTACGGTTCAGCATAGATGACAAATTACTATTGATAGTTTATGGTAGGGGTGTAAACGGATTTAACTCTAATTGGATGAAGTAATATCTGAACTTGAATCCCATTAGAAAATTCGATATTCGATGGATATTAAAAATTAATATTTGAATTTGAATTTGATTAAATATTTGAATATTCGATTCGATTCGAATTCGACTAATTAATTATTTTACGTAATTAATAAATATATAAAATATATATTTTATTTATATAAAGTATATCAATATATAAATTATATAAGACATTTAAATATTTAAATATTATACATAAAAATTAAATAATTGGTCGAATTCGGATATTTATTGAATCGAATTAGGTCATATCTGAATTCGAATTCGATTAACTATTCGGTATGAATAGGATATCTGAATTTGACTGATTAGATATTCAAATTATCTGAATTCGATTTGATTATGTCGAATCTCGAATTCAAAATCGGATTTTCGAATACCGTTGACACCCTTAGTTTATGGAATGTAGATGGTACTTGGTGTTGTGATAAGAAATTATAAAGGAGATGCTTGTTGATTAAGGCTGCAACTTGGGTCGGGTTGGCCCGGACCCAACCTAACCCAACTTGAAAAAGTCGGGTTGGGTTGGGTCGAGTTGATGCTTAGGTTAGGGTCAGGGTTGAAATTTATGAACCCGACTTTACTTCAAATTGGGTTAGGGTTGACCCTCCCAATCTGAACCCGACTCAATAATACATAACATATATAAATATATGTTATATATATGATATATCATACATTGATTTGTTTTATATGCATGATAGTTGTATAGCCCCCACCACATACTATCATTTATTTCTTTTAAGATAATCACTTTACTTAGTCTTAATTGGAAATACTAAAACCTTAATAACATATTTTATGTTTTTTGAATATTTTATTCTTTATCTCATCTCTGTTGTTTTCCACCCATAGCTTCCTACCCATAAAAGATCTATTATAAATCATAACTCATAATAAACTATAGTCATTTCAAACACTTTTTTTTTTCTAAATTTTGTACTTAATGAACCAATAAAAACATCAACAGACAAATACTAATAAAACATATGATTAATATATATATATATATATATATTATAGTGAAAGTTAAGTTAAGATCTGAGATTAAGAAGTTCTACGAGATTTTAAAGGATGGAAAGAAGGTTGGGTGGGCTGAGCCCAACCCAAGGGTTGGGTTAGGGTTGGAGGAATTTAGTTAGGGTTAGGGTTGGATAGGTCGGAATAACGGTTGGGTTGGGTTAGGATTAGGGTTGGAGCTTTAGAACTTAGATTTGGCCTCAACCTGACCTAACCCGGCCGAACTTGCAGCCCTATTGTCGATCATTTTAAAAATTTGTTTAGTTCTATTAGCATTCCAGTCGCAACAAAGCTTCTTTCAATGATTCAACTGCAGACATTTGCTTCGGACAACAAAGACTTTTGTTGGTTACCTAGTAAGGAAGAAATTGAAGAAGTTGTCGTGCAATTGGGATCTCTCAAATCACTAGGTCTTGATGGTATGTTTGCTCTATTTTTTCAAAAATTCTAGCATGTTATTTGTAATGATATTATTTCTTGAATTCATGGGTTGTTTAATTGGAAATGACTTGGTCCCCATTATTGCTCGTACTAATATTGTATTGATTCTAGAAGTTTGTCATCTAAAGTCTATTAGTACCTTGTACTTTGGGTCTAGTACCATTTTGGTCCCTGATCTTTAAAATGCTACAATTCAGTACTTGAACTTTCAAAATGTGTCAATCTATTATAAGCCGTTAACCCATCCGTTAACCAGCCCGTTAAGTGGCATTTGAGAAGATGGATATGCTCTTCAAGTGTCATCTCATTCTCTTTATCAACCATCCAAACATTGATAAAAGATGAATAATCCCAAATTCTTGTCTCTTCTTGAATGCCCACCCCACTAAGACATGACCCCAAATTTATTGAATAAAGCTCATCGCAAGCCCACATCGAGCCATGAACTTGTTGTGGGTGTGTCTGTAGAATTGGTTTAATACCTTTTGTGTTATTGTAGTTATGGTGATGAACATGTACATATATATATATATATATTTATATTACTATGTATACATAATTATGCATATCACATATTTATATTATTATATATATTATATAATTATGTATATATATAATTATATATTATATAATTATGCATATCACATATATATTATATATTTTTATGATGACATGTCAAGGATTAATTGGTTCGACTTGGATGGTTGAACTAATTACCCGTGACCCTGAAGGGAAAACGGTTTCACCTCCAGCCTAGTTCTTTAAACACTGGTTTCAACCACCCTAGAGTGGGGCACCATACCACAGTAATGAGAATTGCCTAAGTCCACCAATTTGAACCTATTGGTCCCCTAGTTTGATATATACTGTGTCTATATAGAACATGACTTGTAGCCTTGTAGGGTCTATTGTCTATTTGTCTTCCACTTGAGGTCCATTTAAGAGATAAGCCAAACATGGCTTACCAGTCATGGTCCCAAGGGCAGTAAGGGTCTGATAATAGATAATGCTGGATTCAGTTAATACTACAGAGCGGTGAGATTCATAGATGAAATGAAAGGTAGTTTCTATTAAGTGTGGCACTAGTCCCCAGCCAGTCCATTTAAGTTACTAAGCTCATTACCTTCTTTACATTTTTTTACGAGGCTACACAACGGAGGACCCGTCCCCATAACCCCACAACCTGGTGGCTTGCTGCAGGATTTTCAGGGCTTGGATCTGCTACCCACAAGCTGCTTCTATATGTCACTCATAATTCAATTGAGCTTGCCATTGGGAATGTCTCCCTTGTCATTCATGGGAGATGTTATCAACATAAAGTAGTGGTACTCTATGGTAGGGATGTGGGAACAAATTGTGAATAGCAGATTTGAAATGGGATTTCCATATCTCTGCCACAAAGACCCATAGAAGCAACCAACATTTTTTTTTTTTTTTTGTGAAATAGAAGCTACCAACTTAGTCACCATCAGTTGGTAGCTTCTTTACATTTTGCTTATATACATGTTGCAATTTTTCCATTTTATTGGAGCATGCCTCATTAGTCATTCCTAAGAAACTAGAAAGGAGTGCATTACACAACTCGGAAAACCTTCCCCAAAGCCCCAAAAACCTCTAAGTTAAACCTCCCGGTGCAACTTGGGCGGGCCGAACTTGAATCTGCACCATCCAGCCCACAATTTTATATAGGTTGGGCTTGGGTTTTTGATCCTCAGACTGGGTCTGGGCCCAAACGTTTAGATTTTAATTCTTCGAGTTGGGCTCAGGCCTAGTCCTTAACTAGTTGAATCTAGTTAAAGTCCAACCAAATTACATACATACATGCGTACATGTATTTCAATTTTTAGTGTGGATTGATTGACCAACCTACCCGGCTCAGGCCCAAACCTAACCTGAATGCATCAAATTTTATTACAGGCCCAAACTTGACCACAAAATTGGACCGAGCTTGGACTTTAAACCCACTTTTTAGGAGATCGGCTTCTATTAGGGAAAATCTGTGCCCACACCATTCTAACAGCCTTTTACAACCTTGTATTGTGAATATCTCCTCATGGAATAAAGTATACAAGTATGAAGATATTCTCAATGCAAGGCAGTAAAAGCTGCCCGAATGAGATTTGCCCTGACTGAAGCTGAACTCACTTTTTAGGATTAGGCCTGGATTGATCTAAAACCCGTCCAAACCCTCCGAACTTATACCCCTAATTAAACCCCAAAATAGGCGACACCTTCAAGATAGTCGGGCAGCGGGGAGAGATCTGTGAGAGTGACAGGGGAGGTTGCATTGGAGATGAAATGTGGGTAACCCCAACTCATTATTTCTTTTAACTTTTTTATAGGATTATAAATGTAAATATTTTCATATTATCAACTGTTTATCATATAAGAGAAATACAGTATATAGAAAATTAGTAGAATAGAAAGGATTGCAACTATAGTAGCAACAAATGTGAACTCATAGAAGATGGAATAATGTTTATTAAGATTACATCTCTTGCTTCTTACCGTACATTAACATATCAGCCTGGTGTGGTGATCTGAACTGTTTATTTCTAGTTTACCAGTTTGGTGGTCGAAAAAAAATCATACAAAATTCTGAGGATGGGGCAGTTGAAAATTGGGAAAATTGTAGATTAATATCCTGTATTTTGGGCCTAGTCTCACTTTGCTCCTTCAACTTCAAAATATATCAATCCAATATCTAAACTTTCAAAACTTATCAGTATCTTAACCGACCATCAGTTATGTGTATCAGGTGACATCATGTATGATTTAAAATTTTTAAAAATATCCAGAAGACATCACGTATGATTTAAAATTTTTAAAAATATTCACATTATCCTTTGAAATAAAACACTGTTTATTATCTTATTCTTCAAACAAAGATGTAAGTTTTGGGTATCGAATTTTGCATGAAAATGGTAATGCTCGCAGCGATTAAACCTAGGCGTGAGAGTGGGAGGAGTTGAACAGAGATTATCTGTAGTCTCCAGCCTGAACGGCTGCTTTCCTCTGCTTAAAACTAGCAGACAAGATTATCATTACTACTAGCAAATAGGGACTCACTGGGTTCAGTGAATGAACACCTTGTCTAATATAATGACGCAGAAATAATGACTCATGCACTAACACTAACGCACTGCAACAAGAGGCCATGACTGTCATTCCATTTCCAGCGTGAGTGCATCAAATTTGTAGGTCAAATCCATGAACGTGAATTAGGTAAACAGTACACTTTCGCTTCTTACAATCAATTTAGCATAATTATTGATGGCCATAAGAAATTAAGCCAAGCTACCTGGGCTTGAAATGATGGAATCAAATGGAGGATTTAACACATTATTTGATTGCTTTGGTGGGTTTTGATTGAAAGGTGGGTCTCAATTATGATGATTTGATCTTGTAAAAAAGTAAATAAATAAATCCAACCATGCATGCTTTATAGATGATAGTTAATTAAGTATTTTCATTAGAACAGATTAATAACGAATTTGGGATTGGTTCGAATTTCTTTTCCGGAGGAGGACATTTGGATGGATTATAAAAAATATTAAGAACATTTTGTATCTTCACACGTTTTAAAGTTTCGAGGAGCAAAATGAGATTAAGCACAAAATAGAGGGTACTAATATGCAAGTTGATGCAGATTTTTTTTTTGTTCTAACTCATCTCCCAGCTAGATGAAGAAACATAAAGTTGATCGTCACCTTATTAAAGAGAATACGATGAGCCAAGTCACCACCTATTTACAGGTTACATCACAATCACATCACATTACACCATGCCGCTGTGAATGGAATCAAATGGTCCTCCTTTCTACCCGACAAACCAAGATTAAAATGCTTACCCATAATTTATTCATATTTGGTAGAAACCCAGTTCGCTTGCGCATACAACAAACATGAATTATTGGTACTGTAGCGTGGATGGACCATTCATTCTATTTGCCCAATCTCTCTCTCTCTCCTACTGCAGTGTCCACCAGATTGCTACAATTTGAATTATTAAAGATCAAGGAAAAAAAAACGTGTTAGCTTGAAATTGGAAAGAGAGAAAACATGTTCTCATGATAATGAATCCATGACTATGATTAATAACCTACTAATTTCGAAGTTTGAAGTTTGAACAGCAGCAATAAAACATAATTATCCACTTGTGACTTGTGAGTTATCTATTTAATGAACCTTCGACGTGATTAATTAATTGAGTTTAAAGCAACTTCTCTCTGTCTCTGACTCCCGAACCATGAGTCTCTGACCGCATCTCATCTTCTAAGCTTGATTTTGGGTTTAGTAATTTGGGTTTTTGTTCTTCAGCTTGATGAGCCAAGTCACCACCATCTCCATTGGTCTTTATTCTTTGATGACTTGTACTGCTGCTGCTGCTGTTGTTATGCAATGCTTTAGCAGGAGCTTGGACGGTGGTATGGGGGGGAAGCACAGAGGGTAGTCTAGATAAGAGAGCTCCTAGACTCCAAGACATGGATGGTAAGAGAGGTGGGATTGGGCAAAAGGGTCCTCCTGCAGTACCCATCTGTGGGCTGTTCCACCCCAAATTGACGGATTTTATGGGAATTTCTTCGAAGCTGTTGTCGCCATAGCATCTTTTCTCGCCTGATAGGTTCCTCGTGTCATCGACGATAAAACCGGTTTCATGGACGCCCAGCGTATGGCTATTGTGTTTTAAGGTGTTTGGATGTTGGATGGCTGGGCACGGTCTCTGTATCGTGAAGAAGCCGGGTATGCTCTGGAGATAGCTAAATTTCCTCTGTACACTGATCACCATGTTGAGATCTTCGACAATCTGAACAAAGATGACCACCCATTATTAGAGGAATTGCTTTTACGTGCAACATATATACAGAGAGAGGAGAGAGAGAGAGAGAGACCTTATCTAGTGAACCCAGTTGAATGATGCCTTCCCTGACAGAGATTACTGCTATGGTCTGGAAATAGAAGTAATTATTTCAAATGTTCAGCTTGAATTAAGAGTAAAGAGTATTCCTGTTTTATTTTTCTTCTAATTTCTGGTATTATATATCTGCCTACCTGAATGCCTGAATTGAACTGCAACTTCCATTGCTTAGGCTGCTGTTCATATGAAGATAGGAAGTGAGAAAGAAAGCCGAAAATCTGTATCAGTAAACAGAGTGTGCTTTCATTTGTTTATGTTAATAATCAAGTAGGATTTTCTTTTTTTCACTTTTTCAGGCTTACAGGTTCGATTGATCCACTCCAGTTGGGATCGTTTTCAGGTGGGTTTTCCCTAAATACCCATTTGTGACTGTTGTCTGCTGCAACTTTCCCTACTAATCTGAAAAAGAGGAGAAAGAATAAAGAATCGAATAAAAGATAAAGAGGACAGTAATTTTCTAACTACCACTTCCTACGCTTCCTTCTCTTTATTATTTATCTCTGAAAATAAAGTAGAGAGAATGATAAAATCAGAATGGTCACCCTTCTCCAAAGCTGTAGACCTCGTGAGACATCTTAAAGAAGATATCAGCTCCGAACCTCCCCTTCACGTATCCGCTTCCCGCTCGTTCGCATTCATGGAAATCGCAGAACCCATCTTCCCATACAAGAATCCTGAAACCAGAACCCACTAAAAGAATTCAAAATACAATACGATGAAGATGGGCACCTCTGGATTCTTCAATTCTGGTGTGACACGGTACCAATTCCTTTTGTTTCCTTTGGAACGGTCGAGAGCACCTTCTCCATAATCCCATCTGCGGGACAAAAAAGTGTGATCAGAGAACAAGTACAGAGTTCGATAAATGCTTTTCAATTGTAATCAATTTAATCATTTCATCCCTTACTTTGGTGGAGGGTAATTCCGAGGCAAGATCCTCCAGAAGACAGCGTACACCCACTTTGAATAAGTAGAAGAATTGGAAGAATCTGAACATGAACACAGGCTTCTTAGTGTTTGCTGCAAGAGACAGTTGAGAATGGGAATCCCACCTTCCATTGTTGAGGGAGATGTTAGTGTCTGCCTGCCAATTTTAAGCAAGCAGTCACTTGATCTCCCGTTAAAATAAAAAGGGAAGCTCGAGTCGTACCATGTAGTAAGTATGGTCCGTTATCTGGTTTCAGAGTGCGTAATGCACCAGAAAGACAACAAATTAAGTACAAGTATTGGAATAGGCAAATTAATACTTGCTTGCTTCAGACTTCAGTGGCTCGTTCACCCGTTCTATCTATGCTTGCTGCTAAAGTGCGCAGGTGGCGTTTTCTCATTGGGATTCATGACCTGCTTAATGACAAGGAAAAGGAACATTTCAACATTGTTTACTGTTTAATTTGTCGCAGGTCCGACGTCTAGCCCGATAAGAACTCATAATCCAAGAGCTGGCACCACTTCCACTTCGTTCCATACTTCCATTCTGGAATCTGGGTCCGCCATCGACCTCTTCATAATCAACTTAGCATTTAACCATTGAACCTTTTTGTGGGCCGGGAAATATGAAACTCTGCTTAATTATAACTATATAATCAAACTGAACCCTCTTTTCTGAATCTGCTTAATTATAACTATAATCAATCTGCACCCTCTTTTGTAAATGGAGAATTAGGATTTTATCAACCAATTACTGAACTGCATTTCTTTAATTACTACTACTTAGTAGAGGGATCAATGTAATGCAGAACATTTTTCATTCGCGAAAGCATGATTAATATCTGACATTACCTCAAGAACTAAAGTTGTAAGAAGAGATGGAAAGAGTGCTACAATCGTTGTGAAATACATGAACATGAAACTTTGTGTGTGAAACAAGTTTATATGTCCGTACGGTAGTGGCGATATAAAACATCCAAGTGATCCAGATTCTGACTAAACGAACATAGCTGTTTTAATCTGCTACACATCTAGTTTTAGTGGAGACAACATATACAATTTGTGTTATAGTGTTGTAGTGGAGGAAGTCTGACTCTTGTGGCAATTGCATGCACGGATGAGGTGAACCTGTGTAAGTGGATTGAACAATTCCTAGGTTGTCCATTCTGCAGGAAGAAGGTATATATACCTGAACATTTTAGACTATTGAAGATGCCTGCAGCATTGTTGATTTTGATCCTATCTGATTCATTGGGGAAAATCAGAAAAGAACAACCTTGTAAGGCTTAATTACAAGAATCACATGAACTGATGGGTTAGTTATGTCAAGGACAAAGTTCAAAGGCATTTCTGCATGGCAAAGGGTATTGATGCTGTCTGGGCTGAGGTGGACAAGCAATAGATAAGTTATTTTGATGAGTTGGACAATCTGTGCCGATCCAACTATCTGTATACAAAAGAATCAGGCCTCAATTTTGAGTGCAGGAAATCCGACCTTGGGCAGTGTGCCCTTACATATATAGGTTCCAGGGAGTGCCATTGTGCTCCTCATTGTCTTGAGACACGTGTCAGCTTTTGAGATAGTCACCATCCGAGCCCATAGGGATATGCGCTGTACATTCCACCAAGAGTGGAAACCGGATTCACTCAGTGCAAGACCCGTTCAACAGCCTTTATATATAGCCTTGCATTGGGAATATCTCCCCATGAAATAAAGCACAAAAGTATGAAGAAATCTCCAATACAAGGATGTTCGAACAGGTCTTGCACTGCCTGAAGCCGATCTCCCAAGAGTGGGATGAGAAGCTCAAAAATGTTGGCATCGACCTTGGCGGTTACATGTCCCTAGATTGTTTGGGTCTTGCAGCCCGCACCAACATTAGCTCATAGGTCATATAAAAGCATATCATGTCTATTGAAAAATGGGGTCACCGTAATTTTGGAGGAGAAGCTCTGAGGCGTGTCTGAAGATATTGTCTTTAGAACGTTATTTTCCCCCACTCAGTTTCACCGAGTTTGCTGTTGGGTTACAGGCAAATCCGTTTCCAGGATACAATAGAGCCTTGGGTGAGAATCTGCAACCAGCAAAGTTGAAGAATCTCCAAAGAAACCTTCTGTGAAACTGTAGCAAACCGGACTGAGAGAAAGAGATAAAGTGGATTTCAAAGTTGTGTTTTTGAAGTCTGATTCATGCTCCTTAAATAGTCACAATTTCAAACATTGTGACTGTTTAAAAGTAGTTAACAGTTAATGACTGTTAACTTGGAATTGTGCCTCTTGATCACACCCGATCGAATCATGACCGTTGATCTCATCAACGGTGATCAACGGTCAGCATCGCACCAAAAGTGCAAGCAAAGTGCGCCTCTAAAGCGCCTCATTGTGCCGCACACACGCGCACACACGCGTGCACGCGCGTTGCGCGATATCAAACCCCCACTCTCCTCTACTATTTCTAAGGAGTGTAAATCAGCTTCTATTAAAAAACTGAAAACAAAGCTTATAATTTTCTAATCTGGGACAAATTCAAAAATAGTTTTTATAAGAGAAAAGCTAATTTTTCAATCAAGTGTGTAGGTGCAATTTCTCATGTAATTGACCAATCAAACTCATTGGATTTAATCTCTTATGAAATTAAAATCCAACAATGTCATTGCTCCTCGATATATCCAAGCTTTGAGTACATAGTAGTCTCCAGCTTGGCCATGTATTGCTCTCTCAATGGTCCACATGGCAATCCAACCCTAGCCTAATTTATGACCTCATCAAGTATCATCATGCTAAAGGTAAATATCTTAAGACACACACACACATATATATATATATATACACACTAGGGTAACTCAAAACAATCTAATAAAAATACATTATCAATACTAATTTTGGTGGTGTTTGGAATCGTAGGCGTTTATTAAATAAACGCTGCCACATAGGTGCCACTTCAGCATTTTTCCATTATGCGGATCCATACGCATAGAGAATTGCAAAAGCAAGCCTTGATTTATGTGTGCACCTATCGTTGGGGGAAGCTTCATTTTAGCACTTCCTGCAACAGGTAGGCATTTATTCACCGTTTTGCTGATATGGTGCTTAATGGCGCATAAGTGTCAATAAACAGGTTCATTATTATTTTTCTCGGTTTTACAAACAAATCAAGTACAAACATTTAGCAAATAAACACCCGTGGTTCCAAACACATATTTTATAGGTGTTTGGTTCTATGGGTGTTTATAGATGTGGTGTTTATTGTTTTAAAGGTTTATTTGAAAAACTCTACTTCAAATGATTTTTTTACTTAAACATTTCTTGCTTTTGTTGTTTGGTTGGACATAACTTTAAATGTTTCTTACTTTCCACCTAATACTCCATGAAGTATGTCACATAAACATTCCATTTCAAGAAATGTTGGGACATTGGGGAAAACAAAAATCTGATGTTTCTCCAATGCCTCATGCACATAATTCCAAATATTTATAATTTTTAGTGTTTATTTGATAAACATTGTGATCATGCATAATAAACCCCAACGCTTATGTGGTGCTGATGTGGCGGTTGTTTTCAATAAATGCTCAAAGAATCAAATATAACCTCTAATATTTTTCAAATGAATGTAAATACCCTATAAAAACATAAAAAGCACAAAGCACATACTTTAATTGCTTAAATAAAATACTATGTTACAATCAACATATCGGGCATATATAATAACTTGACAAATAACAGACTATTATGATCTTGTGTGTTGCACCAAATATAAGCCTTTAAAAAGGAAAAAAAAAAGAAGAAAGAGTTATTTGATTAAGAAATGAGAAAAAGATGGCAAAAGGCCACTCTTTCTCTCTCTAAAGTTACGTAGGCCTTAGGGAACTCTACACAATTCATCAGACCAGAACAAGACGAATCGGCCGTGGCCAAGTTTGCACAATATCACAGAGATTAATGCACATTGGTCCATATTAATGCGAATTTATTGATCGTATAAATGCGTGTAGGTTTGATACACATCTATACTCAATGAAGCAGTGTGGAATACCTTCAAGATAAGGAAAATTCGAAGTCTAACTTGGCCAAAAAATAAAATGAACCAAGGATGCAGCACCATTATTTATTTTTAAAAGAAATTTCTTTATACATTTTTCTTGTCTAATAAATTTATAAAACCTTTTTATGTAAAACTCTAATTGAATCGAGCTCTAACCAAATAATTGGAGTTTGATGAATTTGATTAGATTCGATTTGAGTTGCATTTATAATATATAAAAATATATTTTTATGTTTTATATATGATATAAGATTATAATATATTATAAAATATTAATATAAAAGTATATTCATTTTCAAGCTTTTGAACCAAATAAGAGTTCATTGAATATAAATTTGATTGAACCAATCTTTAACCAAGAACTCGAACTCAAATTCAAGCCTATAAGAGTATTTTAATTGAACCGACCTAAGCCATGTAAAAGTTTGGCTCGACTCCATCGTGCCCCTACTTTGATGTCTATCATCTATAATGATTGCTTTTGAATTAGTAAATAATTAATTCTCTGTAAGAAAGGATCATTGTGTTAGCCATCTTAATTGAAACTTTTCTAGTTGAACTCACCCACGGATATATACTAAAAACAGGCAATTCCAACAACTAGGGCATGCAGTCTAATAGCTAAAAAGTTTATTTTCTTATTTTGGTGATGGTTAAATAGGATGGAAATTTCATGCTGTCTTCAATCTTTTTAAGCTATCCTTTAATTCTGATAAGCGTTGTTTTCTATATACGATTCCCAAAAGGCAAAAGCACTTCCGATGTGTTATTTTATTTAACTACTCAAAATCCCATTTTCCTTCTTTGTTTTGAATCGAGAACAGAACAGGATGTGCAGTTGCCTCAATTGACCAGCTGGGGTATTCCAAATTTCCAATACTAAATGGAGCTTAATTAGTTAAAATTTGGAGGAACCTGATGACTTTAATGGTGTTGGGCGCCCTCACATGAAATTGCACCCTCTTTCCTCGACACTCAACATCATCGGGTCCTGATGACCTCAATGGAATTTGGACCAGAGATATTTGAATTTTTACGTGGAAATCTTCTCGGTAATAATTGGGTGAAAAAAAAAAATATAAATATAAATACTGGTATGTATTTGAGAAAAGTCAATAAAGGACAAAGTAAGTATAAAAAAAAGGGCAATTCATCTATCCATGACCAAGAGAGTCATTGTTGATATGCAAGTGACGTCATCATGTTCCCTTTTAATCTGTAAGGTACCGGTGTTAATTA